AATACCTGACGTTGTCTAGAACTGACCTTCCCTGTACTCATTTGCAAGCATGGCTTTTGGCAGACTGTTTCTGAAATACAGAGCGAACAACAAGCGCTTCCTGAGGTGAGTAGTCCACAGGGAACTGCCTGTTGACAAACCATCTCACATTCTCTTCCACCTCTATCCAAGCCCAGGTGCCAACACCAGGATACAGCACATAAGTTGGTGACACATCCCCGAAGATATGAGGTCCATAAATCAATGAAGAGTTTATGTCCTGTTTGACCGTGGGTCTGAATTATTTTGTTGACAGAGTGAACTTAGTGTATTGTTTCATAGGTTTATCCAGTAGCAGTCAATATTCTCTACTTCTTGATGAACACTGCTTTCGTTTTCATATTTCCTTTATGGTCTTCATTTGAAAGAGGTTAGTTAATTTCCGTGGGCCGGAGAGAACTAGTTGTAAATCTTGCCTTTTATCTTATTAGATATATCTTGAAATCAGAGTGTGTGGGCAGAGGATGCAGAAAAATGAGAACAGGGAGTGTGGGGAGAGAATGGCGTGAGTGCCTTTTTTTCCTTCAGTGTCGAGTCTTTCCCACAGTCAGAGAGTGTTCTATGCTAAGAAGAAAGTGAAGAACTTGGAAGCTGTAATCTTTATTGGTTATCTGTGTTTCTGCAGGCCAATTGCCCTGTGCCGTCTGACTTTCACCTTACAAAATGGAGGAAATCTTTGAAAGTCTTCTATGCATTGCATGTTTTATCCAGTACCGTTAAAGAACATTATCTTTGTACAATGTTTAACTTCTTCTAGATGTTACAGTAGTACAATATGTTGCATAATGTTATATACATGCTTTGAGATCAAAATAGTGTTTTCTACCAATAATGAAAGCTGGTGTGATCTGTGCCTAAAAAAAGACACTTCTTGCAGATTCATGGCTCACAGCTCGCAACATGGGGGAGGTAGTTAAAATTAGGCACGCTTTGATAGTATAGCTGTAAGGGTGTATTTGTAGGGTTTTGTTTTTAAACAGGCTCAATATTTACCCTTTCTGGCTTTGAATCGAAAATAATCTGCCCTAATGATTCCTTTATGAGTTATATCGTCTTTTTTTTTTTTTTTGAGTAACAGATACTATTGAATCTCCTAAAGCAGCTCATCTGGCTTACACCATGAAAGAAAATGGCTCGCACAAAACAAGTTAGGCTTAATCTTTGAATCCTAAGAAGGCAACACCGGAAGCCATGTTGAAGTCGAGAACTACTGAAAGAATGTGAGTGTGAGCACCTCTCACTCACGTTAGGTGTGGTTCTGTGATGAGATGAGAAAGAAATATTCTGATGGCCGCTTCCTCATGCAGCCAGCCTTATTTCAGACTGCAAATGGCTCCGTTCGCCCCTGGAGCTTTTTTTTCCTTTTATTGGGTATTTTTTTCCCTGCGTGGTCAAGGGCTTTTGACGTGATTTATGTATTACATATCAAATTTCATCCGTTCCTTTCGGTTTTTAAGTCTATTTCAATCCTAGTAAAACCTCTTTTTAATATCATGTATGATGGAACTCTGTTTCTCATCACTGGTTGTGTGTGCTTCTACAGGGTTTTGTCTGTCTTGTGCTCTGTTGTGTTTTGCTTCTGTCTTCGTTTGCGTGAAGAGGGAAGGGCAAAGATCTAACAGTGTCTGAGTGGGGCTTATCTCCAGGAGAAGTCTCGTGAGGTTGGGAAACAGGATGTGTGATGCTCAAGTCCTCCTTTTTCTTCAGGAGTGAGGGTCTTGTGAAGATGCGGAGTGCTGATGCTCCCCCTGAGGGAATCCTGCATGGCTAGGCCTTGGATAATCCATCTCTGGGTGCTTGCGTGTGGTGATACATGCGTTCTCTAGCCAAGGGATATCTTGCCCTTCAATAAATGGTAGCCTTACCCCCCCAATTTTCTTACGATGATCACCTACTGCATGTCAGGCATTGTGTTGGGCCTTGGGAATATGATAGTGAGAAATCAAATTGAGATAGTTCTTGGCCAGGCGTGGTGGCTCACGTAACTCCCAGGGTCCTGGCTTGCTCAGCCAAATGGAAGAGGTTGTGTGTCTTTGAACTAGGGAACTTCGGAAGAAGTCCAGGCTTCCAGGGCCAAGATCATGAGTTCAGACGTGACCGTGTTGGAGTTTCTGCCCTTGTGCTCTGTTTTTTCTCACATGCAGCAGGTATTATTAATATTTAGGGCCGTTCCCAGACCCCTGTTTGCAAAGCATGGTTTTTGTTATTCTTGTCGTTTCTTCTCAGAGTCCCAGGGATGCAGAGTGGAAGGTCCTATGCCACAGCGTGAGAGGAGATACCCCAGGTTGTAGAAGTAGCTCGGCCATGCGCTTCATCTCTCAGGGGATATGTCTTCCCTGCGCCCTTTGAGCAAACAGCATTTGGCCGGGAAATTCTTCGTTGTAATAGGACCACCAACGCTAAGCTACATTTATCCTTTTGGGACTTCCCTTGACACAGACATTTAAATTGTGCATATAATCTCACATACATAGAGCTGGCCTCACCGTTTAGTTGGTTCTAACATCCCTCAATCTGTAGCCCTCTTCAGCACTCCTTTACCTGATTTTGCTTGCCCCGACATTCTGCGCCTGCGGCCTGTGCGCTCTCCCCTGCGGCTATTATTTTTATTTATTTATTTATTTATTTTGAGTTGGAGTCTCACTCTGTCGCCCAGACTGGAGTGCAGTGGCCGCTCCCGGCCACCGCAGCCTCGACCTGCTGGGCTCTGGCGATCCTTCCGCCTCAGCCTTCCGAGTAGCCGCAATTACAGGCGCACGCTACCATGCCTGGCTGATTTTTTGATTTATTGTAGAGATGAGGTCACGCTGCCCAGGCGGGTCTCGAACCTGTGGGTTCAGGCAATCCACCCTGGGGCTATTATTAAGAGATGGGGTCTTGCTGCGTTGCCTAGGCTGCTCTTGAACGTATGGCCTCAAGCACCCCTAACGCCTTGGCCTCCCAAAGGGCCGGGATTATAGGCAGGAGCCACTGTGCCCAACCTACTTCTCCTTTCTATTTGGTGGTCATGCCTCCCCTCCCCAGGGCTTGCTCAACATGAACCATTGTAGAGGTTGATACATCGACTGTGTGACCCTGGGAAGCACCCTCGTTTTCAGAAGGGATGGGCTGCATGACCCTGCCAATTCTTGAACATCCCTCACTTCTGAAATTCATTTACCCTTTTTACTTTTTATTTTTTTGAGTGGGATTCTCACTGTCATCCGGCTGGAATGCAGTGGCACGCTCACGGCCACCACAGCCTCGACCTGCTGGGCTCAGGTGATCTTTCCGCCTCAGCCTTCCAAGTAGTTGGAACCACAGGTGTGCACCACCATGCCCCGCTATTCTTTTTTTAGTTATTGTAGAAACGAGGTCTTGCCAAGTTGCCCTGGCTGGTCTCGAACCCCGGAGCTCAAACAGTCTTCTCGTCTCGTCCTCCCAAAATGCTGGGATGGCAGGCATGAGCCATTGTGCCCGGCTCATTTACCCCTTTTAAATGGAAACCATTGGTGACTAACTCTGGTAGACACAAATGTGTATGGTTACCAATTCTAATAAGAATTCGAGCTAATGGTTAATAGGCATAGATGTACAATGTTTTGCATAACAATACCTTGGCAGTTGAAAGTTCAGAAATATAGAAGGAGTTAAGAAGGAAAGGACGAGTCCCTGCACCACCCACATCTGAAAATTGTAGGTCCGCCTGCATCTCTTGTGTCTTCAGGATTCCTTGAATATGCAAGCGGTTGTGTGTGTGTGTGTGTGTGTGTGTGTGTGTGTGTGTGTGTCTCAGAATTGCACCCTATGTATTATTCATGTCATTGCTAACTGGATGGGCATCTAAAGTCTGCCGGCAGGGGCCTCTCCTCCTATTCTCGTCCTCCACCCCCTCGTCCCCCTTCTTTTAATCCCCGAGTCCTGCCTTCCTCCCTCCCAGTTCAGGCCAGGGAAGCTGGCCTCAGCTGCTCTCCCTCCAGCCTCACGTGCCCCCTACGCCCTAGGATCCCGCTCCCTTTTGAGTGTTTTGGTTCCCAGTTAGCTCCATCTGCAAATCGGTACAGAATTGGGGGTGTCTGTTTCGAAGAAAATAGTGAGGATGCTGACTCACTTTGTTCCTTTTTTGATAGGTAGAAATGAGATCATATCCCAGTTGAAATATTAGTTGACTACTCTGTGTTCATTCAATAAGTCAGATGTTAGCAAGAATCAGGTTTCAAATAAAGACTAATATCCGGTGTGAAAAGAAAAAAGTCCCTGCTTCAAAGATTCATCAACTCTCATAGGGCAGGCATGCCGGAATCCCTGGCATAATTCTTGAACCAGGCATTCCACATTGAGTTTATCAGTAGAGCCCAGTTCACTGCTCACTTTGTGTTGTGTTTAAGCCTCTGTGGATTAAAAGCTCTTGTTTGGAAAAACCTGACAATGCTGGGCTATCTACATATCATCTTCATTCTCTTTGTCTGAGAATCTGCAAACGGCCAAATTCTTCCTAATTTCACCTGAAGGTTATTTTGGTGTGACAGTCTTATGACAACACAAGTATCATTTGGGGACGTTCCAACTTCCCTCTAAGGGTAAGAACGTTGACTAAATGGATTAATTATCCTCTCCTCAGTCATCTTGTTTGTCTGTCTACCGTTTGTGAGAGACTAGTCTCTGTTGAAATATGCTGGTAGTAATTACAGGTGTCCTGTTCTCCGTGAGACAGTCTGTTATGAACAGGATTGGTTGCCTTGAGGCATTTGCATTTGATCAGAAAGGAAGGACGTGTTGAACTGACAGAGACAGAAACAGCCGCTTATGTGGAAACTATTTATACAATGGAGTCGCACATTTTTTTGCCCTGCTCAGGAACACGTTTGCAATTGTGAGGAAGTCCTGGGTTACTCACTTTGGATACCCAGTGCTCCTCTGCTTCTGCATTTAACATCCTGCGAGCTGACCTTTCTTGACACCATAGTCTCACAAGTCTTTGGTTTGTCTTCTCCCCTTCCTGCTCTCCTTTTCAATTCCCTACTCAAAGTCCTCTCCAGGGGTTGCTCATTTGATTAGAATCTTGCACTGCCGGGCTGTGAGATGCA